TACACTTCCGTTTTGATGTACAGCTCGTCAAAGGGTGAATGCCTCCGAGACTTGTATGCAACTGGAACGCATTCAGGTGTAAGATTGTTAAATACCGGAGGTGGCTCGATATTGGCAGCCGCTACACTGCAGGCCGAATGCCACTGGACTGCATTCCACTGATAAAAGCATCTCGTATGGCGTTGTTTTGGTTTTGTTCGGCCGTGACGGCAACGAAGTTGCAGTCTTTTGCAAGTGATTTCAGCTTCTGCATAAACTGATCAAGACTCTGACCTGCCTCCTGTTTACTGGTAGAGAGTATGCGTCGAGCAAAATCCTCGTTTCTCGGTTTCGCGTAAAGCTTCTCTAGGATCGTCATAGCGAATTGGAACGTTTCACTCGGCAATATACTCGTTAACGGTGGGAGAAATGCATCCAGTGAGGTACTTCAGCTTTTCTTCTTTGGATTTCGCCGCTCTGGCGATAAACAAGGTGAATGTGCGAAGCCAGTGANCTCTCGGCAATATACTCGTAAACGGTGGGAGAAACGCATCCAATGAGGTGATCCAGCTTTTCGTCTTCTGATTTCGCCGCTCTGGCGATAAACAAGGTGAATGTGCGAAGCCAGTGATTCCAGACTTTTGCGGCTGAGGGACAACTTGAATCCGCGTCGAAGTGTTCTGGCCGATAAGGCCGATCCATTGTTTGGACGAATAAATATTCTGAATACGAGATGACAACAGTCAGTAGTTGCTCGAGAGAATGAGAGAGAAGACTGAGAGCCCGGAGATGTAAGGCTTTATTCGTCTAACAACTCTGGCATATAGGCTGAAACGTATAAAAGAGAAATGTTATGAACACAGCGATATACAATAGACAAAAAATACATGACACATTAGTCCAATGAAATTCCAAATTTTCTCTTTGATCCTACTCTCAACCTTTCCTGTCTTTCTCCTAATGTTCATCCAAATGAGAAACCAAAAAACAGCAACCAAAACCGGCGCATGAAGGTGCTTGGTTAATGGTTGTACAAACTGCAAACTGAACTGAAACGTCGACAAACAGTTTCACCGTCCCAAGTCCCTGTCAATATACTCTCTAGTGATACGTGTTTACGATTTCCCATGGAGAGGTCCCACTGACTTTCTTTTTGTTGGTGAATTTGTTTCCCATCAGCTTCATATTTACACTCTTTCCTCGCTGTTTTGGAACTGTACACTTGCAAAGCCTGCATGCTTGTTCACAGTACCTTTTTCTGTTATTGATTTTTTAGATGACGGAACATTGCGGGCCTGTCCCAGCTATCATCAAGTTTCTCTGGATGTTAACCGCCTGGATTCACTCATGCCACCGGGTATCGATGATGACGAAAAGGATGTCATTAGACAAGAAATGATGCAGTTGGTTGTGTCCATTCTGCTGGACAATCCGTCCACACACTATTACCAGGTTCGTATGTTCCAATGATGTGTTTTGTATTTGATCACACTGAATAAGTATTTTATGCGTCGAAGTTAGTGATACTCTAACAATTGCATCTAAAGATGCAAATGATCATCTTCATCATCGTCGTCATCATGCAGCGAAACGCAGTGAAGCGGACTTCACTAATCGCTGCCAAACTCGTAACGCATGTAAATTTAATGGTATTGAAGTGGTAAAGTTGATTGATTCTTAACCTGCATGACAACTGAAAGCTTACACGGAAATTGTTCTCTGAACCAAACGATTTAGGACTAGGATTCCGTTATCAGTATGAGTAATTCAGCTCTTGCAGTTTTTTTTCTGAAGATGTGAGTAGCTTTATTGCAACATGCATTGATTCATCTGTTATGGGAATTATTCCTGTGGTGGATCGTTGTTCACCAAGAAGTGGATTACGAACAAGAGTAAGAGTAGCAAAAGTGGTATACATTTAGGGATTTTCTTTCAAATCCACTTCGATACCATGCCTATCATAACGGGCCCTTATGTGGTTCGCCACTCTAAGTCCCACTGCTTAGGTTACCGGTTTCCATCATGTGGTCTATCCTATCTGTTGTTCATCACACACGTGTGTCATGAATAAATCATAATAACTTTGAACCGTAACTGTGAAGAGTGAGGAAGTCTCCAGAAGAAACGTACGGTAACATCACACGATTGCTATCCTCAGTGAAGGATGCATTTCAGCGCAGGGATTCATCATAAGTCGGCGAATCCCTTAGTGAAACAATCTGCGACTAAAGTGTACATGCTGTTCACGATGGTGAATAGCAGCTTAACTGGTGGGTGATGTACCTACGCGAACAGTTCAGCTGGTCCGGCTCTTGTCTGTTGTCGTTAAGGCTACGTGGACAGTGTCGTGTGAACCTCCTACTGACAGAAGTGTTATCTTGCATCCAAGCCCTGAAGAAAGAAAAAACAACAACTGAATCTGACGGGCTTCCTCCCACTCTTTTCAAGATGGGAGGAGGGCGATGACCTCGTAGACTCTTAGGCTTTAAGGCGTAACATCTGATCGCAAGAGTTCATTCCATCATCCTTGAGCGAGTCACTGGTCGTTCCAATTTTCAAGTAGGGATCTTGCAACGACTGTGCAGACCACCGCGGAATAAGCTTGGTTTCAATCGTCACCAAAGTATTAACTTCTGTCATACTTCGACGTCTTACACCGTTCAGGGAGACAAATCTCCGCGATCAAAAAGCAGGATTCCCATCAGGTCGTGGTTGTAGCGACCAAGTCTTTACACTGCGTCAGATCCTCGAGTTACGCCATACACACCGTCCACCAGTGAGTGTTTTCCTCAACCTAAAAGGAGCCTTTGTCTAAGTTGAACACGAAGCCTTTGTGGGTTCGCTTCTTCACAAAGGGATATCGCAGAGGTATATGAACCTATTAAGGCCACTGTTCGCTTACTTCTGGTAGCCTGAGGGTCTACGGCGAGCTGAATCGGTCGTTTAAAACTGGCAGCGTTGTTCGTCAAGGGTGCCCTATTTCGCCACTCCTGTTAGGTAGAGGTGTTACTCATCTTCCGGGTTGGGGTCCAAAAGACTTCTTAACGGGAAGGTTGGAGACCTTGAAGGATATGGCAGCTAACAGATAGCAGTGTCATTTTCGTCACTTCTTATCGGGTCGGAATGCTTGAAACGGTATGAATGCACAGTTAGGTTGTGTACTCTGTGTGTTGACCATAGAGGTTCACTTTCTTTGCCTCCCTTCAGTAAGCTCAAACCCTATCCATCTTTTACTTTCTCACTCACTTTATGTACATTAAGAGCTTGGCAGCGATCAACGAATTTCACTCCACTGTATCTCGTTGTACGATGATGATGATGTTGATGATGATGAAGAGAATGAATGATTGGGGGCCATCGGGTGGCAGAGGTATGGAGGGGGCACAGCAATGTGCCTGCTCTGACGTGCTGTTCCTATCACATCTCGTAAACCCTTATTCTTTAAAATCAGAATTCTAAACCAGTAAAATTATAATCCGTTTCACTGTGATGGACTGACTGAAAGAAATTCTGTGATCCGTTGAAGCATGATCAACTAACACCTTTTCCATTTGCTACCATTTCCAGGGCTTTCATGATATCTGTTATATATTTTTGTCCGTTTTGGGACAATCCGCAGCCCGACGTGCTTTGAACAAAATCATTCCACTACGTCTTAGGTAAGTGTCATTGTGAGTGCTCTAGATCTTTGAATCACCCTTGTGACTGGAATTTCAATGTAGCACTGTTAGCAAATATTATTTGACCATCAGCTTCTCAATCATCTTCATAGCATTTGAGTTGACAGATAACCCCTTTGCAATACATTCTATTCTCTTTGTAAACTGTCACTTAGAGCATACAAGAACTCAATGAAAATGTATGCCGTGTTAGTAAGGACAGTGCTCAATCGAAAGTTGTTAGATTCCCGTTTCATTCGCTTGATATATTGGCTGAACTATTTGACCTTTCTGATTACTCGTTGAATCTCGTAGTTTGATAAATTGTTTTTCTCNCTACTGATTTGCCGCATCGTGGTACATGGACCAGCACGCTACCACCACCCACCTCCACTTCGCAACCAAACTTTTCAACTACGAACATGGGCGATAAATATGCAGCATTAGCTGAACTAGATGGAATGTTAAAAAATGCGAATGCGACCACCACTTCTGCCTCCAGCACAGTTTTGTCTTCAAACGCGGTCGCTCCTCAGTCATCCCTTAACAGTCGTGGACCAATGCTTTGGCCTGAAACGTTCACTGTCCCTCCTAATTCCTTTTTCAATCCCCCCATACCAATGGCACCAATAAGCACGCAACAGCTACCGCCTTCCGCACACAATCCTTTTGCTTCACCCAGTATGACAAGCACGGGTGCACCTCGTCACTATAGCGCCTCCAATCCTTTCATTAGTAATTCACCGGGTTCGTGTGTTGCAGGACAGATGACCCCGTCATTTCAGCCCCTAGTCAATCCTGGGGTCTCACTGAGCCAAAATTCAGCTCTGTTTCAGACAACCCAAATCGGCATGTCCAACCCCTTCCGTGCACCTACCACTCAATTACCCGGTCCCGGCCCAATTGCGTGGACCTCGCATTTGAATTCCAACCCTATGGGATCAACCCCTGTACCACCAAACGTGAATTATCCTATGGTGAGTGCTCTAGATCTTTGAATCACCCTTGTGACTGGAATTTCAATGTAGCACTGTTAGCAAAAATTATTTGACCATCAGCGGCTTTTGCTTCTCAATCATCTTCATAGCATTTGAGTTGATAGATAACCCCTTTGCAATACATTCTGTTCTCTTTGTAAAATGTCACTTAGAGCATACAAGAACTCAATGAAAAAGTATGCCATGTTAGTAAGGACAGTGCTCAATCAAAAGTTGTTAGATTCCCGTTTCATTCGCTTGATATATTGGCTGAACTATTTGACCTTTCTGATTACTCGTTGAATCTCGTATTTTGAGAAATTGTTTTTCTCTGCATCGTTGGATGCGATCGTGAGTTGTAGACGACCCCGTACACTCGATAGAATGTTGGGCCATGCTTGTTGAATGCAGAAGTCTGCTCGACAACGGATTAAATATGGCTAGAATCTCTATTGCATGCTTTCTAATTGCACCATTCATCTCGATGAAAAGAGATCACAAATTTTTTTACAATACAGCAAAAGTTTAAGAACACTATGTTGCATTCCAGCGTTAACAATCCTGTGATAACTGGAACGATTATTGAGGGGGTTGTGACAAATCCTTCGTTGATACCCTCTCTCCTTTCCTCCCACTGTCTGCCTTTGTAACCTTGTCTCTCTCTCTCTCTTTATTGGCATGTGGTAGGATAATCTGTCAGGAGCGGCGAAATTGTATCAATTCATTAAAGCAGCAGTTTATAAAAGAGTTTGGCAAATAATTCTTGCACAGACAAGAAAATGGTTTCACCTACCACTCACAGAATCTAATTGTACACCGTTATCTTTCCAATCGTTCCTGTGTGGAAGGCTTAAATCAACAAGGCTCAAAAGGACAAGTTTCTTAAGATCAGTTGCTACTGTCAATCGTTATCTCTCTCTCTATTACACACAAAAGTCAAAGTCAAGAGTGCACTTTATTCATCCAATGTGAACAGAATTTTCAGTGATAAGAATGTTATCGCTCTTGCTTTGGCATTGCACGCTATTAAAAATGAGCTTTAAGATATGACAAATAGTTACTGAGATAATCAAGAATAGGACATCAAGAACGCGTAAAAAATAAGGAAAATATCAACGTGGAAATTTACATTAGACTGTATAAGTTCGTTTGATTTTCACTCCCTAGAAACCAATACACGTGAAAGGTAAGGTACAGCGGAGTTGTGGAAAGCAGTGGTACGAGTATATAAAGGTTTAAATGTATTGCGGGTTACAGAAGTTGAAATGGAGCTAGCTAGAGCTGTGTAAGGGATGTCACACATCGGACAAGATGGAGTCACACACACGCATTCACTACGAGACTACACATTGACGTGGTGTGATGGATTGTGCACCTCTGTGACCCAACGAGCTACACAGGGTGGCTTTATAAAGCCAGGAGATCTTATCATACCTGGAAGGTCAATGGGTAGAGGTCAGACGAAGTTCAGTCTCCTGGTCCTCCAGGTTGGGGGTTCGCCTGGAATTTTGCGTTTCAGTCGATAAAAAGCCGTGGAGGAGTAATTGATCCAAGTAAATGGGCCTCCACTTCGCCTCACCCGCTGCCTTGCGGTTAGGTTCTTGTTAGAACTAAAGGCTTTGGACGAGAACCCTAATCGTTCTGCTTAGTGGCTGGACACCCTAGCAGTACCCGTCCACCAAACCCCAATGCATACGCAAAATAAAAATAATTTCATACTGCGTCGGTTGTCGCGCAGGATAATCAGGACCGCGCTGCCCATTGCATCGAGCGGGGTGAGTAGTGATAAGTGAGCTACTGCTCAGATATCCTAACCTTTGTTTAACTCTTTGTCTTCCGTTCCCAACCCTCTCTCTTT